TATTAATACAATATAATTAAAAAAATATATAAGAGTACAATAAATAAAAAAATTACTTTTTTGAATTTCTTCATTTTACGGTAAAAAAAATGATAATAATTTTAACACAATCATTTATACAAACTAACAGTATAGGCTTCCAAGGAAAACTAAAGAATATTTAAACTCGATATATAAAGTATTTAAATTCAAAAAACAATATTTTTTTTTTTATGTCGCTGCTGAGGCGACAACGGAGTAGTAGCTTATATTGCAGTGTCGCCTATGCGGCGACAACGGAGTGCAAAGGGTTAACACAGACACTATCGACGAAGCGGAAAAGAAAAATGTAAAAAGATTATATATAGTTGGAAAATTGTATATACAATTATATGTAGATATGCGTTTCTGTGCGCTCAAGTGTTCATTACAAATGCATAAAAAATCCGCGGTCCATTAACAAGATAAAATTTCGCGGGTAAGATGATTTATCGCTTGATTGTTGGCCAGGATTCGCCGTGGTCTTCACTTTTGTCTTCCATTTGACCTTCTTCACCGGTTGCGTGGCGATTAGTGGTTACTGCGAGCAGAAGAACCTCCACAGCGTCGTGTGCTGCAAGGTGCAGCCCCTCTCTAAATCATGTGAGTCACTTTCTTTAATTCTTTAAACACCGAAATAAATAAACTCGAATTGTACGACACTTGACGAACTGTCTAACTTTAAATTATCCCCGTTAGTCACTCTTGGAGTAATTGTTTCTAATGTATAATTCAATGATGTAACAATATCATTTCCTATCATTGTAAATTATAGTTTGTAATTTTAAACTACAATCACGAATTCATCATTTTCATTCGATTTCTGATCATTTATAATTTTGCAATTTAAAATTGCAATCTGTCGATTATTATAAATATTACGAATAATATTTGTAAAAGAGCGTCACAACTCTTCTGAATAATTTACAGTGATTGAAACATAAATATGAAATAATAAAATATAAATAGAATACGTAATTGTTAACACGTTACGTTCGAATGGTCAATAATCTACAATATTTCGCGGATTTAGTTCGAAACGATGTGTCTGTTCGAAATTCAAATTCAGCTCGCTGACCGACGTAGATCATTTTCTATCTCGCGACTGGCAAGTGTAGAAAACAAAACAACAATCCGTAGGAGCTCGAAGCGTAAGAAAAACTGCTTAGCATAGAAAGTGCCAGCGGCGAGCGGGAAATATTGTTAAATGAAAGTTCAAACAAAACCAACGAACGATACGTTCGTTCGAGCACGCGCCGTCCGTGAAAGTATTCCGGGTAACGTCTTCTTTGCCCATTAAATGGCTCCCCTGCTTGCGTATACGCACGTGAACAGGATGGTTACATCGGATGTAGTAACTGAAATGGACGAGTTATGCAACGAGAAGAAGAAGAAGAAGAAAAAAGAAAGAAAAAGAAAAAAAAAATGGGCGTCACGTGAAGATACGTAATACATATTATGTCGGATGTATTTGAGTTTCGTTTTCGCGCTGTAGTGGCGCGGCTTCTTCAAAAAAGTTGGCTGTTTCGAGGAACTTGTCCAACCAGTTTCGCCTGTTTCATTTTTTTTTTCTTTTTTCCAAAAGTTGGAATTGAGAAATTTGAAAGCAAGGGAATGAGGACGAGAGTTCAGAACGTTTAAAACAGATTCAATTCACTGGTTGTTAAAATATTTGAGCGTGTTGTTGCCTCAAATAAGTTCGGATGGAAATTATTAATTTTTGTATTTTTGTCTTTGATTCGATTTAGTTCAATTGGCCGATTTTGTATTAATCTTAACGATTAATTTTAATTATTAATTTTTCTTTGCATTAATTAACACGGATGTGTTAACGGTGAAATTGATTATGTAACTGATTGCAAGGTAAAAATGAATTATTGATAAATTATACGAATTACGTATAATAATTATATAATTGGGTAATAAACATACTAGATGTATTAATAAGATAATCAATATTAGTAACAATATAATAAATTACTATATTAGTACATTATTGGTATATTGTTACATTATTTATCTTTGAATATTAATTTTATATTATTATCATATTATATTGATCTTAACTTGGTATTATATCTAATAGAGATAATAAGGTTTTTTTTACATTTTTTCCAATAGTGATTGTCAGTTACCTATTCGTAACCTTTTATGACAATTTTCTTCTAGTCATCGACAGTTCAAATTTCAAGTTCCATTTCCTTAAATCGAAAAATTACTAAATACGAATCATCAAGCTGTAGATTTCTATACACCTGTGGGAAATTCGAAGCTGCAGAAAGAACGTCAAAAAATATCACGCAAGGAACGTATAAATAAATCTAAAAAGATATAGCAAGTAAATAAAATAATCGTGCACCCCTAAGTCCAATCGTACAAAAATATGAATTTGCACGAAAATCCTCAGTTATACGAGTCGTACAGAAAACTTTCGATATAATGACTTAACAAATTACAGTAACTAACAACAGGCATTTGTAACGAAGGATGTTGAGAAGGAAATAGTAAAATAAACTAGAGAATTAAAACAAATAGTCGCCCAATTGGCATGGTCTCGCGTTTAGAAATTGGCACGCGGGTATTAAAAGGGAAAAGTCGTTGCGAATCGCTGACCATTTCGATCGTGAAAGCCGGAAGAGCTCGACCAACCGTTGATAATTCTCTAAAACGATTTATAAATTGTAGTTTGATGCGTGAGAAAGTCCATTGCTATCCCCCCGGACCGGTTGTTAATCGATAAATCTCTTTGACGACAGTACATATTCATAATTTTCATCTGTGGTCCTCTTCAGTCGCCATTTTCACGATCAAAATTGGACAATTTTCTTTGTCTCATCGTAAAATCTTGTCAAATTAACGCCACCAAAATGGTTAAAATCGTTTAGTAAGATAAATAGATGATATAAAACATAATAATAAATAATACAAAATATACAAATAACATTCTTTATTGTATTGTAGAGTCACTTTAATTCCTTTGCCACGAATTTTACACTTTAGTCGTCGCTGGTTCTAGTTAAACGTGTTAGATCTCTCGTTTTTTTTCTCTCGTGCTTTTTCCCTCGGTTTCTCGTCAATGTAACAAAGAATCGAAACGTGTCGGATAATGTTCGGTTACGTGAGAAAAGCCCGAGTTATGTCCGAGCATCGCTAATTTGTTCGATCATCGTGGTGTTACGTAACTTCGTCACTTTCTCTCGAGACATTGTCCACAGTTACAAACAGTCATCTCGCGAATTTTTACGTAATTTCTTCCTGCTTTCGATGATTGGAAAAGAGAAAAAGATATATGAAAATGTTTCTCGTCTGTCTTCGTGATTATTTGAAACTCTAGTGAAAGCAGCAATATCAAGGATCATTAAGAATCATTTGCTATTTTGTTCAATCGACGTTTAACTGCTTCGACACTGTTTAACAACTGATTTCTCAACGTTGTTTCTTAATTTTTAATCGGTATTATTGGCAAGCGTGGAAATTGAATTAGGTAGTTTTTCGAATTTTAGTTAGAATTGTCGACAAACAGTTTGTGATTTTTATTGCGTTTTATTTAAAATTTCTGGAACTGTCATTTGATATTATTTAGAGATTTTTGATTGTTAAAGTACAATCCATAGTATGAACTATATAATAAATCATCATCATTTAATAAAGTGTAATGTATAATTTCTAAAGTATAGTAAGTAGTTATAATATCGTGATAAATAATTGCTCGAGTCTTAATTAATTAAGTAATTCTCTGGAAGTTTGACAAGACGATTCATCATGATTCATCTTCCATCATTCACTCATCATCACGAGTGTAGAGAAACGACACCAAGAAAGTGATTCACGTGGAGCAATCACACCAAGAATTTCTGGCTTTATTTTTATACTAGCAATAAGTATGACTAAGTTTCTTCAAAGACAATTTAACATTAAAAATTGGTGCCATTAAATTAAATTCATTAAATCAATTGTTATTAAATTAAATTTAATATTAAACTTGACGCGGTTGTATTTCTTCAAAAATTTAAATTCGTTGGAACTTTTGATTGGGAATTGCTATCGTTTGTGTAATCAATTATTGAAGACTTTTTATTTTTATCTTCATTTTTATACATTTGACTAACAACAAGTCTCTTCAAAAATCAGTGGAACTTTTCGTTAGAAATTCTTATTGTTTCTTGTCCTCAACTTAAACTGATTTAATCTATTATTATTAAAGAATTTTTATCTTCATCCTGTGACTAACAATAAGTTTCTTCTCCAAAATTGACGTCGTTCGTGTCATTCAATTCACGCTGAAGAATTTTTATCATCGTCTTTTTACACGCGTGTGTGTCTTTATACGGATGTCTCGAAAGGTCCAAGGCCACCGGAATTTATCATTAAAAATTGGCACCGTGATCGAGAAGAATTATTGACAATTGACAGCCAACAAAGGTGGCGATGTTGTCAACGCATGCTTGGAAACCGATTGTCCCTATCATGAGCGCGTGCCTGGCGTTTTAATGTAAACATTGTTAAACGAATGCGTTTCGCCTTTGTTCTTGCTGGAACAAATAATTTCATCCTTCTTTTTCTCACATCGTGGTAGCTACGAGGTTTCAAAGTCAGAGACAATGGGAGAAACTTCTCATGGAGAACAGCGATTTGAATTAACCTTGATCATTATTTTTCCGCAGTGTCGATGAGGAGGTGGATAGTTTAGTTTAGTTTACTTGATTATAGATAACGAAATTTATTGCAAATTTTATTGCTATTTAGTTTCTGATTTTCGAGTTCTTTTGATTATGATAAATATGACTTTACTATTATACTGATATATTGTATTATCAATTGAAAGTATATTCCATTCTCATTTTTTGCAGTTTTTAGCTAACGTTGTGCTCTTTTCAGGGAACTGTGTGACAATGGTAGTATTC